GCGTCCCAGCACCCTTGAGGCGCGTGCCGCCGCCGTTCTTAGTTTCCCGGTCCCTAGACTGGTGAGACCAGACGGAGGTCGCCACCAGCTCTCCGAGGAATGGATTGTGGGAGGTGCCGCCCCGCCCACTGTCCCCTCCCCCACTACGCACCCAGAGGACCTCCCCCGTCGGCTCCTCTGACCCCTCCCGAAATCTCCTCTCTAAGCACCGTTCCAGAGGGGAGAAAATAGGCCCCCTCCCAACCCGAGCATGTGCCCTGGACCCTGCCAGGACTCACGCTTCGCTGGTTCCTCTGCTGCCGGGCCTCCCCGCTACTTGCAGCACCGGCCCTGCCGCACCCTGGCCAATGTTGGGAGCCGCAAGTTTTGGTGGAGGGTACCCCCACCCTACCCCGAGACTAGTGAAACCTGCGTCCACCTGGCTGGAAGCGCTTCTTCGTAAAGTGTGTAAGCCATGGGCTCAAAACCACCATCATATACCCCAAACCCACTTTACACAGGCAGGCACACAGAAACATGCACCAATACACAGACACTCACGGAGACAGGCACCCTAGCTACTCAGCGTGTAATGAAACCTCATTTCCCCTAAGGTTCACCAGCAACCATGAAAAACCCTTCCTAGTTCAGAATTAAAGAAAATCCCAAACCTTTTAAGCCTAATAGGAGGATCGTATTTTTGGCATCAGTAGTGATTTAAGACAAGGTGATTATTTGCACATCTTCACAAACCCTGTGGTAAAAAGACAAGGAAAATGTAACTAAGTATTTTAAATCATCAAGAGAAAAAAGGAAAATAAGTGAGCACATTTCATATGTGTCCTGTAAGATTGGTCCGAAGTCCAGATCGAGTTCCTAACGTCCGATTTTGGCCTATTTTAAGAGCTCAATATCCTGGAAAGGTTTTTTTGGCAAAGATGAAAAATTACCAAATTACCAAGCATTGCTCTACCTTTTTTCTTGCTGAGAGAATAACATGAACATAAATATGAAAAATACACAAAAAAAACCCTAAAGAATTTTGGTTCATTCTATTTGTTATTGCTTTACTATAAATCAGTATTGAAAATTTTCTCAGAATGAAATTTGCTATGTACTGAGAATTACATAGCCAGGAAAATGAGTAGTGATTTTTTTTATGCTATTCTCATTGGCAAATTAAACAAAAAGCTTTATATAGAAATAGGTTTCTTTTCAAGACTTCAGATTTGTTTTAAAACTTCAAATGAGAAAAATGCAAAGCTGAAAAAAGTAAACATTGTCAAGTTCCCACCATCTAGAAAGTTATTACTATGAAGACTTTGTTAAACACTCTTCAGAAAAATTACTCCACGCATAAGTACGTGTCAAGATAGTCCTTATTTTTACTTATTTATTTTAAATCTCACTCAGTCTTTAAAAATATTTTTTCAAATGTCCAAGAACCCATTAACTGCCAGTGGTGTCTAAGACCAAAAAAAAGTATTCAAAATTGGCAGTACTACATATCAGAAATTAATATTTGTTATATTTGAGTGCTTGTTTCTTTAGGCAAAACTTAAGAACTAGTAAAGTATTAGCAAAATGATAAAACGAATTAATATACATAAAAGTACTCTGTAAACTGTGGGCTGAAAGGCAAGACATTACTGTTCTTGTTCACCTGCAGGCAATCCTGGTTAGCTCTGTAACGCATCCATGTTTCAAGGCATTCATTCAGTAAATCTTGGTTAAATGTCTATCATCCTTGCAGAACTGAGCTAATTGCTCTGGAGGAGATAAATAAGCAACCAGGGCCTTTGGCTGCCTTCCAAGAATTTACTGTCTGGTTAGGGAAGCAAAAAAGGTAAATATTTAAAGTCAAATTACTATTCATTCATTTAATTCAACAAATACGTCTTGAGCAACTACTATGTACCAGAATCTGGGGATACAGCAATGAATACTGATGAGGTACCTGCCTTTGTGAAGCTTACATTGTAGTGAGTAAGGCAAGCATATAAGATGATCAGACAGTGGTTAAGTGCTATGAAGAGAGAGAAAGCAAACTAAAAGGATAGTGACAGTGTGCTATTTTTAGATGGGCTAATCAGGGAAGGCTGCTCTGAGGAAGTGATATTTGAGCAGGGACTTAAGTGAGGGAATGGACCATAACCATCTAGGGAATGATCCATCAGATAGAGAGAATAGCAAGTGTAAAGGCCCTGAGGCAGGAATATACTTTGTGTGCAGGATGATAAGGCAATGTAATTGAGTGTTGTATGTGTTCCATGGTATAGAATCCTAAACTATCTCTGCTGGAAGTTTCCTCAAAAATCATCTAGTCTAAAGTAAAACAGTAGGGAATTTTAAATGCACAAAAATATATTTGCTTTCTCCAACAAATCTGCAATGTTCTGTCTCAAAGTAATCTACTGCATCCAAAGAGAAAGACTACACTAATTTCAATAGTATATTTTGATTACTCAACCTTTTCATTTTGCTATTTAGAGCCTTTCATTTTGCTATTTAGAACATTACATTCTTTAAAACCACCTTCATTAAATTGATGAGCAAAAAAACACAGCCATCAAAAACCCAGACGTTTTCCTGCATAATCTAATGTCCTATTCATTCTCAGTATTCTTGTTCTTAGGGAGGAAAATACTGAGTTGATGGTCTCAACTTGCAAGATTTACTGAAACACCAAGATTCTGTAGAGTAAAAATTGAGTAGAGAAATGAAAAGCAAGTTACCTAAGAATCAGGCAAATTTAAATATGATTGTGTTGATTTATTAACTTGAAAAAAACAGAAAGGGAAATACATATACATACTTACTACATGGTGTTATTAGTAATTGTCATTATAATTAAATCTTAGACAGTGTGTGATTATATTACTCCACTCCAGAGTTAACAAAACCATGAATAATAGTCACATAGTTATAGTTGTTAGTATTTTTCTGTGTTTAGGAAATGAAGTATTTGCACCAGGTATTAATAATCTTGAATTTAGGCACAATTTACTGCTTTCCCTTTTTTGCACAAAATATACACCATCGTATCGTGTTTTCTTCCTCCTTCGTGAGTACAAAGAGGATTCCAATTAGGGAAATAATTTTCAATGAGACTTCAAAATAATAGGCAGTGTGGAAGCCTGTATTTTGTTCTGAACAGCGAAAATTTCTTCCATTCCACTGTTTTAGAAAAAAATTTCTCAAATTGTCTGCATTCTGGGATCTTTGGAGTCAGAGTGTCTACGTGTGTCTGCGTGTGTATGTACATGCCTGTGTGTATGTAAGAGCTTTATAGTATAATTCCTATACTATAAAATTCACTCATTTTAAGTGTACAATTTAAGGATTTTTACTAAATTTACAGAGTTGTGCAACTGTCATCACAATCAATTTTGGATTATTTCCAACCCTAAAAAGATCTCTAGGGCCTATTTGCTGTCAATCCCTTTTCCCAGCCCCAGCCCCAGCCCCAGCCCCAGCCCCAGGCAACTACGAATATACTTTCTATCTCTGTAGATTTGCCTTTCTGGATAGTCTGTGTTTTGAGTGGTGTTTCCATAGAATTTGACTACGGTAGCTGCCAAAGCCCTCACAAAGAATTGCTTGCCTAGCCTAATGGACAATGGGGGAATAAAAACACTGCCCAAAAGGGCATTTTCTCATAATTTTTGACCAATCTGTAAAAAAATCCAGACATTTTTCAGATTCAAGTTTCCACGAGGCTATTAAGGCAACTCCTCTCCCATTCAGAAGGGAAGTAGCATCCTCATCCATGAGCAGGCAAAGCAGGTGATGATGGTCCCCAGGCAACCACTCTCTGGAGATAAAGCCCAGAAAGAAACTCAGCCAAGATCCAATATTCAAATAACTCTGCATTTTACCACTTTTTTTTAACTGATCACTGCAGGGCAGTCTGTGGATGAGGGAGAAGACCCCAGGTAAGGTGATCCTGCCTAAGATGGTGCTCACCCCCAACTGCTTTTGTCACCTGTCATTGAATGGCCCAAGCAGAGAACTTCCACTTCTAAAGACAAAGCCTTAGAAGGGAGGGTATAGCTCAGCAGTAGAGCACATGCTTAGCATGCATGAGGACCTGGATTCAATTCCCAGTCGTCCATTAAATAAGTAAATAAGTCTAATTACCTCCCCTCTAAAAAAAGAAAGAAAAGAAAAGAAAGCAACAAAAGCAACAAAGACTCTTCCTAAAATTCAAAGGCTCACTCTAGAACATTCTCTTTCTAGAACCTACATAACTTAAAATGCAGTCCAGAACTTCTCCTCGAAGCATAGGTAACTGGTATGATGGCTAATTTTATGTATCAACTTGACTGACCATGGAGTGCCCAGATTAAGCATTTCTGCTGGGTGTGTCTGTGAGGATGCTTTCGGATAAGCTCAGCAAACATTTGATTTTAATCAGTGGACTCGGTAGATTGCCCTCCCCAGTGTGGGTGGGACTTATCCTATGGGTTAAGGGCCTGAATAGAACAAAAAGCAGAGGAAGGAGGAATTCCTTTTTTCATCCCTTGCTGACTGAGCTGAGACATCTCATCTTTTCCATCCCTTGGTCTGGGATTTACGCCATTGGCATCCCTGGTTGCCAAGCATTCAGACTTGGACTAAATTATACCACTGGTTTTCCTTGGTCTCCAGCTTGCAGACAGCAGATCATGGGGAACATCTCAGTCTTCACAATAGCATAAGCCAATTCCTCATAATAAATCTCCATATCTGGTTGTATATGATACATACAGTAAGTCCAAATAATAGATACTATACACATCTTCCTGGTTCTGTTTCTCTGGAGGACCCTGGCTGATACAGAAGATTGATGCTGAGAAGTTAAGTGTGCTGCAGTAACAAAAAATACCAAAAAATGTGGAAGCAGCTTTGAAACTGGGAAATGGATAGACACTGGAGGATTTTGGAGATGCATGCTAGAAAAAACCTGCACCAGCACAAATGGCCCTTTGAAGGTCATTCTGGTGACAGCTCAAAGTAAAGAGGAGATCTGTAGAGAAAGTCTGTCTTCTTTGGGAATACCCAAGAAGTCATGAACAGTATGTTGGTAGAAATACAGATGGTAAAGGACATTCTGCTGACGTCTCAGACACAAATGAAGAGCATGTTATTGGAAACTGGAGGAAAGGCCATCCTTGTTTTTGTGGCTGAGAATGTGGCTGAATTGTGTTTGTGTTCCAGTGTTTTGTGAAAGGTAAAACTTGCAAGTGATGAAATTGGATATTTAACTGAAGCAATTTCTAAAAAAAGTGTTGAAGGTGTGGCTTGGCTCCTCCTGGCTGCTTATAGTAAAATTCAAGAAGAGAGAAATGACTTAAAGACAGAATTGTTATGCAAAAAAGGAAATAGAACGTAGTGATTTGGGAAATTCTCAGCCTATGCATATTGCAAAAAAAGAGAGAGAGGGAGAGAACACTAATGTTATGGCCAAACAACCATTTGGGTCATTGGGAAATGACTGGTTGTGAACCACTAATCAGCCACTTCAGGAGGAAAACTGCTGGTCTGAACTGAAGGAGAATGAAATGGGAAGGAATGAAGGAAGGCTGTCAGACTTCATGGATTGTACAGGATGAGACCATATGAGATCATGTGCTATTATATTCTTCGAGACAAGGAAAGAGTGACCTCAGAAGAGATTCAGAGATCATCAGGGCTGCCTCCTTGGTTTCAGAAAAGGGGACCATTGCCTTGCTTCCAACAGGCCAGACAGCCTCTGCCCAGACCAGGGAGGGGCAGGGCTGCCCAGAGTTGTGGGGATGGGACTTTGTGCCAGAGCCCTGGAGGCTGACTCCTACCTATTAGAGCTACAGAAGCAGTATGGTCACCCCAGTGGAGGTGGGACCACTGCCCCAGTGGGTCAGAAAGGTGAGATTTCTGCTCACGTAGACCTGGAGGGGAGAGCATGGAGCCAAAGAGGGTTACTCTGGAGCCTTAAAAGCTTATGGAGTTTGCCTTGCTAGATTCTGGACTTGCTTGGAATCCATCACCCCTGCCTTCTTCCCTATTTCTACCTTTTAGAATGGGAATGTCTGTTCTATGCTTGTCCGATCATCATATTTTAGAAGCACATAATTTGGTTTCACAGGTTCATAACTGGAAAGGAATTAACCTCAGGATGAATCATACCTAGATTCCCACCCATACCTGATCTGGATGATATTTAGATGAGACTTTGGACTTCAGAGTTGATGCTGGAATGAGTTTAAGACCTTTGAGACTTGGGGGATGGAATCAATGTATTGTGCATGTGAGAGGACATGAATTTGGGGGAATCCAGGGACAGGATATTATGGACTGAATGTTTATGTCTTCCCAAAATTCCTATGTTGAAACCCTACTCCTGGATGTGATGGTATAGGAGTAGGGGGACCTTTGGGTATAGGATTAGGATTAGATGAGGTCATGAGTGTGGAGCCCTGATGAATGGGATTGGTGCCCTTATAAGAGGCATAGGAGAACTTGCATCCTCTCTCTGCTCTCCACCACTTGAGGATACATAGAGAAATTGGTAGTCAGCAACCTGGAAGAGGGTCCTCACCGGAACCTGACCGTGCTGGAACCCTGATCTTAGGCTTCCAGCCTCCAGAAGTGTGAGAAAGAAATTTCTATTGCTTATAAGCCACCCTGTGGTATTCTGTTATAGCAGCCTGGACTGACTAAGGCACTTGGTCATGAAAGAAGTTTCCAAAGCCCCTGCGGAGAATCCAGTTTTACTCTTGTTCTTGTCCTATGTTGGGAGTCACCTTCTGTTTTATGCCTATCAGACAAGTTTGGTCTTCCTCCCAACGAAACCGTTCCTACTACATTTAGACAACCTCCA